AGAGAGTTTTTTGGAAATAACTTGCAAACTATACGTGCGTTAATGTTTTAAGTTATACCATCGTGTTCGCCGTGCGATTGCGCGTCGAATGATATATAGCAAAACATTAGTGCGTTGCTGGAAACATATAGCATTTGGGATGGCCGCAAATTTCCATGGTTTTGTTTCTGAGAGCCGCTCCGTTTGAAAGCAGATTGCCGGTGCAGACGATACACAGTGGTGGAACAAGCATTCAGTGGCGTTGTTGTCCACATGCAAGTGCTGGCAAATGTGGCCGCGGCCACTTTGATGCGAAAAACGGCCCATTTTAGAAACGGACGTTTTTTCGACCCATTTGAGGGCCAATATGAAATCCAGCACGCGTACAAATTGGATGCATGTTCAGATTGAAAACAGCCGTTTTTCGGCTAGTAAAATGTTCCAAGCTCATATCTAACGAACCAATGAAAATCGAACGGTGCTTTAACTTGCAAACGATGTAAGCCGATGTTGCCAGTTGTTGACAACATTTTTGCTCACCGGGTGCCGACCGAAAATTTTGGGGGGGGCCATTTTGTCGAAAAAAATGAAAATTTTCCAAACGCGATTTTTTCATTTCTAAATGAAAGGGCATGGTCCAAAACGTGTGTAAGTGCAATGGCAAGTGTTTCTGTGCAGGCAAACAGCTTGTGCAGCAAATGCAAAATCAGCATCGAGCGCCGTTTGAGAGAGTTTTTTGGAAATAACTTGCAAACTATACGTGCGTTAATGTTTTAAGTTATACCATCGTGTTCGCCGTGCGATTGCGCGTCGAATGATATATAGCAAAACATTAGTGCGTTGCTGGAAACATATAGCATTTGGGATGGCCGCAAATTTCCATGGTTTTGTTTCTGAGAGCCGCTCCGTTTGAAAGCAGATTGCCGGTGCAGACGATACACAGTGGTGGAACAAGCATTCAGTGGCGTTGTTGTCCACATGCAAGTGATGGCAAATGTGGCCGCGGCCACTTTGATGCGAAAAACGGCCCATTTTAGAAACGGACGTTTTTTCGACCCATTTGAGGGCCAATATGAAATCCAGCACGCGTACAAATTGGATGCATGTTCAGATTGAAAACAGCCGTTTTTCGGCTAGTAAAATGTTCCAAGCTCATATCTAACGAACCAATGAAAATCGAACGGTGCTTTAACTTGCAAACGATGTAAGCCGATGTTGCCAGTTGTTGACAACATTTTTGCTCACCGGGTGCCGACCGAAAATTTTGGGGGGGGCCATTTTGTCGAAAAAAATGAAAATTTTCCAAACGCGATTTTTTCATTTCTAAATGAAAGGGCATGGTCCAAAACGTGTGTAAGTGCAATGGCAAGTGTTTCTGTGCAGGCAAACAGCTTGTGCAGCAAATGCAAAATCAGCATCGAGCGCCGTTTGAGAGAGTTTTTTGGAAATAACTTGCAAACTATACGTGCGTTAATGTTTTAAGTTATACCATCGTGTTCGCCGTGCGATTGCGCGTCGAATGATATATAGCAAAACATTAGTGCGTTGCTGGAAACATATAGCATTTGGGATGGCCGCAAATTTCCATGGTTTTGTTTCTGAGAGCCGCTCCGTTTGAAAGCAGATTGCCGGTGCAGACGATACACAGTGGTGGAACAAGCATTCAGTGGCGTTGTTGTCCACATGCAAGTGCTGGCAAATGTGGCCGCGGCCACTTTGATGCGAAAAACGGCCCATTTTAGAAACGGACGTTTTTTCGACCCATTTGAGGGCCAATATGAAATCCAGCACGCGTACAAATTGGATGCATGTTCAGATTGAAAACAGCCGTTTTTCGGCTAGTAAAATGTTCCAAGCTCATATCTAACGAACCAATGAAAATCGAACGGTGCTTTAACTTGCAAACGATGTAAGCCGATGTTGCCAGTTGTTGACAACATTTTTGCTCACCGGGTGCCGACCGAAAATTTTGGGGGGGGCCATTTTGTCGAAAAAAATGAAAATTTTCCAAACGCGATTTTTTCATTTCTAAATGAAAGGGCATGGTCCAAAACGTGTGTAAGTGCAATGGCAAGTGTTTCTGTGCAGGCAAACAGCTTGTGCAGCAAATGCAAAATCAGCATCGAGCGCCGTTTGAGAGAGTTTTTTGGAAATAACTTGCAAACTATACGTGCGTTAATGTTTTAAGTTATACCATCGTGTTCGCCGTGCGATTGCGCGTCGAATGATATATAGCAAAACATTAGTGCGTTGCTGGAAACATATAGCATTTGGGATGGCCGCAAATTTCCATGGTTTTGTTTCTGAGAGCCGCTCCGTTTGAAAGCAGATTGCCGGTGCAGACGATACACAGTGGTGGAACAAGCATTCAGTGGCGTTGTTGTCCACATGCAAGTGCTGGCAAATGTGGCCGCGGCCACTTTGATGCGAAAAACGGCCCATTTTAGAAACGGACGTTTTTTCGACCCATTTGAGGGCCAATATGAAATCCAGCACGCGTACAAATTGGATGCATGTTCAGATTGAAAACAGCCGTTTTTCGGCTAGTAAAATGTTCCAAGCTCATATCTAACGAACCAATGAAAATCGAACGGTGCTTTAACTTGCAAACGATGTAAGCCGATGTTGCCAGTTGTTGACAACATTTTTGCTCACCGGGTGCCGACCGAAAATTTTGGGGGGGGCCATTTTGTCGAAAAAAATGAAAATTTTCCAAACGCGATTTTTTCATTTCTAAATGAAAGGGCATGGTCCAAAACGTGTGTAAGTGCAATGGCAAGTGTTTCTGTGCAGGCAAACAGCTTGTGCAGCAAATGCAAAATCAGCATCGAGCGCCGTTTGAGAGAGTTTTTTGGAAATAACTTGCAAACTATACGTGCGTTAATGTTTTAAGTTATACCATCGTGTTCGCCGTGCGATTGCGCGTCGAATGATATATAGCAAAACATTAGTGCGTTGCTGGAAACATATAGCATTTGGGATGGCCGCCAATTTCCATGGTTTTGTTTCTGAGAGCCGCTCCGTTTGAAAGCAGATTGCCGGTGCAGACGATACACAGTGGTGGAACAAGCATTCAGTGGCGTTGTTGTCCACATGCAAGTGCTGGCAAATGTGGCCGCGGCCACTTTGATACGAAAAACGGCCCATTTTAGAAACGGACGTTTTTTCGACCCATTTGAGGGCCAATATGAAATCCAGCACGCGTACAAATTGGATGCATGTTCAGATTGAAAACAGCCGTTTTTCGGCTAGTAAAATGTTCCAAGCTCATATCTAACGAACCAATGAAAATCGAACGGTGCTCTAACTTGCAAACGATGTAAGCCGATGTTGCCAGTTGTTGACAACATTTTTGCTCACCGGGTGCCGACCGAAAATTTTGGGGGGGG